TTAGAGTAAAGAAACAGATCACTGAGTCGGATAACAGAGTGGATATATTTATAAATATATTTATATACGTTTGGTGCGGCCGATTGAAACCAAAATACGAGGTGCACATCTACATGTTATAGTAGTCTTATATACAAAATTTCAACGTTCTGAGGCTACTCGTTTTTGAGTTTTGCGAGATACGTACGTACGCACGTACGTACATATGTTCGTACAGACGCCACGAAAAATCCTCTTCAGAATTCATTTTAAAGCAGTTTTTATGGAGGAAAAGAATCTTTTATTCTGTCCTTACGTACAGATATCACGCAAAAACATCGTTAAATTGCATTCGAAAGCTGTCAAAGTGGATATTTTCGTTGAAATATGCTGCCTGAAGCTTTTCGCGATTACAATACTTCCTTTTTACTTCGTACAAGGAAATAAAACAGGTTTTAAATCCGACTTTATTTGCTTGATTAAATTTGCAAAATTGAAAAATCAAGAATATATAAATTGAAACTGCTATTTTTACTTTGCTATTTTTAACTTAAGAACTTACTATTTTTAACTTCACTATATTATTTTAAATTGAAGTTTATATATTCTTGATGCTTCCTTTATGAAAAAGCGATGTTCTTAAACATTTCGAAGGAAATCTGGAACTATGTTTTTTTCAGTTAAAAATATGATCAGTTATTCAGATTTCTGCACTTTTTTCAAATACTTGCAATTAAATTCTTGGATCACACGAAAATATTGCTTCTGAGGAATAAGCAACTCGGTCGAAGTGCTTTCAGTTGGTTATTAAGGGATTAAATTAAGAGGCAATTTTTCATTTAAAATTCATAGCTGAATGTTTTTGTGAAGCTTGGCATTTCAATTTCAATACTTTTAATTGCAATTTCGCTCGCCGGATCTTTTCATATCAATTTAAAGATATTTTAATTTATGTTTTAAAGAAATTTTCGATATATAAACGCAGCTACACGAAATATAGCGACCATCTGCGAAATGGAAATACAGCTAAATTAAGATTCAAGCAGAATGAGATAACCTTACATCATGTGGTTTAACGGTTATTATTTAACGGCTACACAATCTTGTTTAGAACACATTTATTAGAAATATCACAAATAAATCACATCCGGAGAACACTGTTACGAATTTTGCATTTAGTTAGATATTTTTAATTAAATCACAATTAAAACTGTTTTATTTCCATGTGCAATGCAGCGCGTGACATATTTTAAGAGAAAGCTTCGCCGCAAAAGTAAAAATACAAGAGCACGTGCATTTAACATTGAATAAAAGTTTATCTCCGTAACTATATTTAATTTGAATAAAGGTAATTGACTAGTATGTTAGCTGTAACCGTAATTCTACGCTTTCTGCTTTCGAGAAACTGCTAGAACTCTCTCGCACGGCTGATTTAAAAAGCTATAAAAGCCAGAGACAAACATCTCAGCTGAGTAGGAATTTATCAGTTGTTGTTTACTTACAGTGTCTCACAAAAGTGATGGGACACTTGTGCTTTACAAAAGGAAACTCTAATAAAATAAGTTAAAAAAACATGCAAAATTTTTTTGTGGGTGTGTTTCATACTTAAATTTAGTAACAATTATTACATAACATACATTTTCTCAAAATATTAAAATATTAATTTAATAAAAATACAATTGTTTAAAACGGAGCAAAAAATGGCTCACATAAGTGATGGGACACCATTAGATACTACTACGTACTACAATTAAAATAGTTTTTGGGGTTTTTATTTTTACTCAAAAGCAATTGGCAATAATTTATAAAGTCGTCTGCAGTATTTCTTTCCAGTTTGTTTTGGAATTTTTGTGTTTTTTAGCTCTGTGCAGCCATGAATGCTAAACGAAAAGAAACTTTGCCTGAAATTCGAAAATTAGTTATTAATTTGCATATTGAACGTGGAAAATCTATTAGAGAAACTCCTGAAACAATTAACTTAAGTCATTCAACAGTTTACAATATCATTAAACGATATAAAAAGAATCATATGATTCAGGATAAAAGAAGACCTGGCCGACCATCAAAGCTATCCGATGGAATAGCGAATTATCGTTCGAAATATTAAAAAAAATCCAAGAATTAGTGCTCCTAAAGTTGCTGCTGATTTACAAGCATTATATGGAGTAATTGTTAAACCTGAGACTATTAGAAGAGTAATTCGATCTGCTGGATATCACGGTAGAGCAGCCAGGAAAAAATTCTTCGTAAGTGAAAAGAATAGAAAACTCAGACTGGCTTTCGCAAAATCCAACATAAATAAGAATTCTGATTACTGGAATGAAGTTATATTTGCTGATGAGAGTAAATTTAATATATTTGGTTCTACCAGTAGAATCTTGGTGTGGAGAAAACCCAGGGAAGAATTTCGAAAACAGAACTTGGTGCCAACAGTAAAACATGGTGGAGGAGGAGTTGTTGCATGGGGGTGTATGTCGTCCGCTGGAGTTGGTACTCTTGTTTTTATTGACAGTATAATGGATCAGTACAAGTATATTGACATTTTAAATCAAAATTTGAAATCTTCAGCACGAAAATTGAACCTTCATAGCAATTTTAAATTCTACCAGGACAATGACCCCACGCACACTGCTTTGAACATTAGACTCTGGCTGCTGTATAACTGTCCTGAAATAAAAAAAACACCACCACAGTCTCCAGACTTAAATCCCATACAGAATATTTGGCAAGAATTGGAATCAAGAATTCGCAAACACACCATTTCTTCAAAACAACAATTAAAATCGGTTCAAGAAGAATGGGGTAAAATCACTCCAGAAATCACAAAAAAAATTAGTCGAATCCATCCCAAGAAGATTAAATCAAGTTTTAAAGGTAAAAGGAAATCCAACAAAATATTAAAATCTTTTAAAAAGTAAAATTTTTGGATGAATATTTGATGGAAAAGTAAATGTCCCATCACTTATGTGAACCATTTCTTGCTCCGTTCTAAACAATTGTATTTTTATTAAATTAATATTTTAATATTTTGAGAAAATGTATGTTATGTAATAATTGTTACTAAATTTAAGTATGAAACACACCTACAAAAAATTTTACATGTTTTTTTTAATTTATTTTACTACAGTTTCCTTTTGTAAAGCATAAGTGTCCCATCACTTTTGTGAGACACTGTAGCTGCGGTAAATTTTATTGAACGGATTAGCTTTCTTCGCGCTTTGGTTTGCTTTCTATTTAACGTTTTAGTAGTTAAAAATATAACTATTGTGTGATATTGTACGAATATCTTTGAGGAAAAACTTAGCGTTTTGTTACATTTCTTGCTATAAGAATACATTTTATTAACTTTTTATCAAACTTTTGCATTCTTCAATCTATTACGAACAGGTACACATGCAACAATATAATACCTAGCATTCAATCTACGTCTGAAACACAATTGAAAAGAAACGTTCTCTTCATTGTTGCAATTTATCGTATTTTAAAATAAGATTTTATTCAAGTCGAATGTGTATTTTATTGCATGTCGCGTTGCCACTTTGTAGTAATATAAAGTGTCTATTTAGAGGGAAACACCGAGTTAACCCAGATAGCTTTTCCCCTTTAGATCAAGCAAAAGAAAGGTTTTTACTAACAATGCAAATATACAGCCGGATATACTTTTAACATTTCAACTGTTTCAAAATTCTCAGGATATTAAATAAAAATCTGATGTATACACACTGCATGACTTCCTTGTATGGAATATTCAATTATATGCATTTTGTCTTGAATTTCATTTAAATTTATTGGATTGAATTAAATCTACATCGTCGATAGCGCATAAACCACAATAGAATAAATGCACTCTTTAAAATTCAGTATATTTGTTTACCATAGCGACACTCTGACGTTAGGTTCACTTAACAGCGTTACATTTCGTTCCTGTTATAACTCAGAATGCACAAAATTTATATCATTAAAAAAATTATCTAATCGTTGCCACATGTTCTGTTCAAATACTATAATAAAGCTAGAACGATGTATAAAAGAAATTAAGCAAGCAAAACAAAAAAGAAACAGTCTTTCACAGACGATTCAGTATTTTTCATTCAATTAAATTCAGTTCTCACTTCGCGACAAGGCAAAAATACATAAAAACTCAAAATATCTATATTAAAAATTACGCAGTAAATCTTAAACACGTATTTTCTCGAATAAATTGCAGAATGGCTTAAGCATGATTTAATTCGCAATAATAAAAGAAGGCGTTGTTTTTATTGTTGCAAAGCTTAGTTTCTCTAGATTGGCAACAAATCCGCTATTCTGCCAAGTTTCAAATGTAAACAAACATCGCCGCCATGAGAAAAATAATTAGGCTTAAACAACTTTTAAATTGTTCATAATCATGCAGATTTACTAAAGGCATAAAAACCTTAACCGGAAGATAAGAACAACATAATTCAATCATTTTTAAAGCAAAAAATGCACAATTTAATAACAGTGCGGCCGATTTCAACCAAAATACGAGGTGTACATCTGCATGTTAAAGCAATCCTATATACAAAATTTCAACGTTCTGAGACTACTCGTTTTTGAGTTATTCGAGACACGTACGTACGCACAGACGCCACGAAAAATTCTCTTCAGAATTCATTTTAAATCAGTTTTATAATTTTTTGGGAGGAAAAGTGCATTATATTCTGTCCTTACGTTAAGATTTCAGGCAAAAACATCGTTAAATTGCATTTGATAGCGATAAAAATGGATATTTTCGTTGAAATATGATGCCTGAAACTTTTCGCGATTACAATACTTCCTTTTTTACTTCGTACAAGGAAGTAAAATGGGAAGGAATCATATAACAAGAGAACGGATATATAACCATATAAAAACTGATATTTTATATGTTTTATTTTGATGTATAACCATAATTTTATGTAAAACCATATAAAAAGAGAACGGATTTCTATTATATATGATAATTATAAGAATGCTACTCTAAAGACTTCGTTTATGTATTTTTAAAGCGTCAGACTTACTGCTTTCTATTTCTAGCGTGCACTGTTGTTTGTCCATAGGATACCTATAGAATTCCATCTTGCAAAACGGTCTCAACTTCACCCTACCAGAGAAAGAAAAAATCATATTATAAAGATTTTATAATTTTTATTATTTATAGTATTACAATTTAGCATGCCTTTTTAATAAAACTAGCTGCTTGCTCGGCTAGCAAACTAAAGTAGTTATTATGAAAATGAAAAAAAAATATGATTTTAATGAGTAATTTCACGAGTCTAGTTATTAATTAATGATAATTGAAATGAATCAGCGTTTATTGCTTTTAAATCCCTTAATTTGTTGATTAATAACAGAATAAATTTGAAAGAAACATTAAATACCTTAGTAATAATTAAATATCTTAGTAACGTTAAATATCTTAATATTTGAAAGAAACATTAAATATCTTAGGCTTTACTGAACAAAAACAATGCTGAGTGGAAGATAAAAATATTTTAATATGGGCAGTTTCAACACTTAATACAACTATCGTGAAGTTTGTTGATTAAATTCGAAAATCAAATAAATATATTGCGTTTTGCCGAGTGGCAGCATATTTCTATTATGTAACGAAGATTTCCAGTTAAATTTGAAACATAAATATCTTACACTTTGCAAGATGACAATATAAAACTTTCATATCACTGAGCTTTTAATCAAATGTTTTTGAAATTCGCATAACATAAGAAATAAATCAAAAAACAGGTTAGGAACTTAAAATTCGGGCATCGAAGTTGCATATATTCGAAGGGCGGAGGAACTATGTGTGTTCAGAATTTGATAACACTAGGTGGCGTTCTTTTTCCAAAATGCGGCAAATGTACATACAGATTCTCAAATATTTAACAATACATATTAGGTTAAGCAATTTTTTATAATATTAGGTTTATAATTTTAATTTAATCATGAAGTTATCAAATGTATTTGTAAAACTATGAAAAATAATAAGATGAAAATATTGAATTTAACAAATATTCTCTGTTCGTATAAAGCTAATATAAATTAAAAATTAAATTAAATTTTAATTGCAAAAATAAAAAATTAATTAGTGTTGCGAACTAATTTACAATATCATTTAAATTCTAAGAGCATAGGTAAATTAAGTGCATTTATACTAAGAGCATATGTAAATTAAGTTACCCATGAAGAAATATGTAATTCCAAAAAAATTAATCTCAATAATTTTTTTAAAGAATTTTTAAGACCAAATTAATTTGCATAAGTGAATAATTGTTGAGCAGGCAGGAATATAGCCACTCCAGTTTTACTTGAAGAAATATTAAGCTCATAAATGGTTCGCATTTATTTTGCATATATAAACATTTAAACAAAAATAATCATATCAAAACAAATATTACAAAATATATTCAGGTAGAGTTTCCAGCGCCCGGGAAAAACTGACGAATTTGCGCCCCTTTCTGTGAGCCAAGAATGGAAAACATTTAATTCAAAAATTTCGTAGCATCAATTTGGCGCCCCTTGGATGCTGCGCCCGGGGACAGATGTCCCCACCCCTTGCCCCACCCTAGCTACGCCACTGAATATATTATACAATTTAGAATAATAATATAGTTCCGCTACTACAGAATTAAGTCTCTGTGCATGAATTAGAAGGAAAACAGAATGAGATGAAGTTTTAAATATTATATGAATTATGTTTTCTCACAATAAAAAAATTCGCGTGCTAAATCGTCATTCAAAGGCAAATATTATTTCGCTTCAGAAATATTAAATTATTCAAAACTTTATTCCTTTCGTTTGAACCAATTATTTAATTTTTATATGGTTAAAAATGTAACGAAATACGGGTTTTCTTCCGCAGAGAACCCGTTGGCGCTTCGAGAAAGAACCCGTTGGCGCCGTTACATTTTTCCTCGCCAAGCTTGAGCCGAGCCGTAAGCGTGATATTTTGTAAACGTTGTTTTTAGTGTATGTAAATTCAAGTTAGCAGACAATGTAGTAAAAATTCACAGATAATAAGTATGTAGATGTAAAACTAACAGGTTAAACGTGATATACGAAAATAAATTTGTATTAAATTCAAGTTTGCACAGAAAACAATGTATTAAACATAACAGGATGTAAAAATTCATTTAAAAAATAACAACTAGTATTCTTATACATACGTTTACATTATACTTATATGTATTTCCTCTAATTCATATAGAATACTAATATTTCTATTACAAGTGTCTTTTTTTATTATTAAGTACTTTGCCTGATGATTGATGTATTTCGGTAACAGCCATGCCCATGTAATATATTAATGAATGCATGACCTATCCATTTTACGTAGATTTCAGTATTTTTTTTTCCAAGTTACTTGCGTACAGCTTAAAGCATTTTACGTTGAAACAAATACCTGTCCTTTTTCATAATATATTTCACAATACAAATAACCTTCAACAGTAATCAAATTTTCTTCAGTAGCATTGTTAATAAAACTAGAACTTTATACATTTTAAAATTATTATAGGGGTTGGAAACCTCATGGTTCTGCGCGCTTACAACTGTTAATAATTAAGAACATAACGTGAACAGGCCATGTTACAAATTAGCATTCACCCCTCCCTCCATATTTTCTTCCTTTGATCCCGAACTGACGAGCCGAGAACCGGCACCTTTAGACGAAAACTTCTTTAATTATGCGAAAATATTTCTATCTATTCGTTGTTAAAAAATTCAGAAAAAATAATAATAAATAAGAGAAGAATATAAATCTCCAAATGCGAACAACGACAACCTTCGCAAAAGTGAATAGGATGAATTAGCTAGGTTACCAGGTTTGAACTATTATCGCCAAAGTTGGCGATGTCTACATTTACCGCGTTCTCTGCGGAAGTGCTTCCCGAAATACCTTCTAAATGAAAATGTAATAAAATACCTTTTAACGAATTTTATTTACACGCATTTTGTATTAAAATGCATAATGCTATGATATTATATCTGTATAACGTCTCTCGAACTAAAGAAGATTTACCTATTAAAAAAAAGTTCTATTTCTAAGGCTGCTGAACTGTGCTGCCATCTATAATAGATTCTCTGCAAAATGTATTTGCTGAAACGAAGTTACTGCGAAAATGTGGATGTTATTTGCATAGAATTAATTATTCAGACTCAGTTAACAGACATCTTTAAACTGCTATGAAATATGTTTCAAAATACAATAAGATTAGAACAATCTAATTGAATTGATGTCTTTTTAGGTATTTATACGCTGACTTCAGGTATGAGTTGGGATTTTTATTGTCGTCCGTAGTTTGTAAGCGACATCACTTGTTGATATCATCTGACAGCATGTTTAAAATGTTTCCTGAGAAAATAAAGGTGTATTGAAATCTAATGGGCAAATGTGGGTTACGGATATTTAGCTGAAGTTGGTGAAATTAAGTAAATAACTGTTTTTGAACTTTCTTATACTGTAATGCCATGTTCCATTTACAGCTTCCAGTATTCCTAAACTAAACTATTATTCATGATAATGAAACATTAAGTATAGTTAGAGCAAATTATAAGTTTGAAAGAAAATAAGAAAATTTGAACATCTTGCAAAAGATTTCGAAATGAGCAGTAATATCATATTTTTGCACTTTAAAATTAAAAAATAATATTTTTTTTTTAATTTGCAGAATCTAACTTTTTATGACATCCCTAAATTTATGTATAGGAAAATGTTATTCTCAGTTTAAAAATATACAAAAAGTGAAACTTCCATACAACTGACCGAAATATTTCATTTTAGAGTTGGAAATTACATTCGGGGGATTATACACACACTGAGAAAAGAAATGTTTGTGTTTATTCGATAAAAAAAAAAAAAAAAAAAAAAAAAAAAGCTTTAAGATTTCATAATTACGCTCAAAGCAGCGTTTTTTTTTAACGTGTTATTTGTTACCTTTATTTAATATACATCATGTTCTTCGCCCTTAAACCATAAAATTCAATTCAACAGCAATATCGCAAAATATTTAAAAGAGCAGCAGATCTTTAGAAGTTCCGATACACAGTTCTCACGCGTTGGAGATATATATATATATATATATATATATATATATATATATATATATATATATACATTTCTTCGTATAGTGTTGCCATTGCTCGCTTTGAAATCGCTGAGTTTCATAATCAAAAACTCATAAATGCTTTACAAAATATAAAATAAATAATAAAAAAAATTTCAAATTTGGGCTTCCAAATGCCCACATTCGGTTGGAGACGTACGTTATTCAAAATCTGGTGGGTCTAGGTACCGTTATTTTATCACAATGCGAGAAACATACATACATTCATGCAGCAGATTCTTCATTATTTAATTTCTTCAAATATAATGCAGGACTCTAACATTCGGTGGCAACAATTTAAAAAGTGATTCGCCGTTTATAGTGATCAACGCAAAATGCCAAAACGAAATTAATAGCCCTTCCGGGCAAATTGCCCCTTTGGGCTAAAAAATAAAATATCAGTTTAGAAAATTGTTCCTGATGTTACTAGATAAAATGAAGAGTATTTGTATTCAGATGATCGTAAATTACAATGTTTCCAATGTAAAGTTTTAAAAACCAATATTATTCATAAAATGATCATACAAGTGAATACCATACAAGTGACAGTACGACTTAGTTCATTCCGCCCGCAGTTTTGATGAAGAGCATAGCGGGGGGGGGGTCACGGGGACTGTTCCAGGGGTTTCCCACCAACTTTTCCTACCACCAACCTCCCGAGAGGACTTTCGGCTAGTGAAATATTGAGTGCCCCTAACCACAATACTGTCTGGGCGGCTGCGCATTAAATTTACTGCTAAATTATTTTTCTTCTTTTTAGTTCATTAATGGTTTTATGAATTTTAAATAAAAGCTTCTTTTACAGTTTTTATATACATTTTTTTAATCACTTTGAATATGAAGAAAATGTTGAAAAATGATATAGATGCAAGACCACGTTGTCAAAAAGAAATTTAGCGCTTTTACCCAGTCGGTCAACTTATGAATCTCATTACAGAAGGCAAAAAGTTGGTGGGTTATCTCCGGATCTATCGCAGATTTCTTTCGGCTAAAGTGATTT